GGGGGACATGATTGACTTTCTCCACTGAATTGCCTTTGTATCTTTGTAGAGCAGTCCCATAATTCTATAGTCTGTTCCTGGAATCTTGTTATTTCAAGAAATTCTGTAGTTTGCTCTTTTTCATTCAGTTTTCCCACTTGTGTGAAAATATGTGTAAAATAAACACCTACAATTGTAATGACTAACACTTACTGAAAACCTACTAAGAACCCCAGGTATTTTATACTCACTCAGTGATTTGATCTTCTTAGCTCTTCTTGGAAAAAGATCTTATGTCCATTTCATTGATGAAGATGCTGAGGGTCTAAGAGTTTCATTTATTCATCCAAAGCTGTCCATTTAAATAGTCAAGCTGAATGAGCCTGCGCTTTTCCTGTTAGTCCTTGGATGTGTGACTTTCAGGAACACAGAACTGATTATTTCACAAAGCCCTTGTTACAGTGAAATGTACTGGAAGAGTATGTGTTGCATTTTTTGTTACTGCACATTTAGACTCTATAGGAAATAGTTCTGGACACGTTTTTGTTTTAATAGTTGAGTATAGTGTTTTTAATATGCTTTGATACTAGAGCAACAGTACTAAAGAGGATAATACAGAAACTATTCTGTCCATGTATCCTGAGCACTGTTGCTAATGAGAAGTACAATTGGAGATACCCAGATAGTGGGGTAGATGGTTCTGATTGTCAAATGAAGGGGTTAGGACTGGAAGTGTAAATTTGGAGTCATCATTATACAGTTTATATTTAAAGCTGGTAGGGGTAGGGAGAAGTGATCCCCTAAGGATGATATTTCAGAGATGAAGATGTAACTCTGGAGATCAGAAACAGTTAAAGCAGGAATGAACAAATAATGAGGAAGACAAGAAAAGGAGAGTGTGATAAAAGAAACCAAGTGGAGAGTGTGAAGCAGTTGAGAGATGGGAGACTATAAACAGAAGTTACAAAAACATCATAAAGGAAAATCAATTGTTATATAAGGTTTCTGAGGAAGGCTCAGCACATAGGCCCTGCAGTACCATGGAAAGACTAGCTCTTCTTTTATCAGAGTGGAGAAAACAAGTTAAGGATGCATGTTAATGTAAAAGAATGTATGTCAAGAGGACACCCAGAAAATTCCTTTTGATTTCTATATTTCCCTCTGGTGTAGAAGTTGAGGTGTATTAGTTTGGTAGGGCTATCATAAGAAAAATGGGTGGCTTACGCTAACTGCAATTTATTTTCTCACCATTCTGGAGTCTTTCATTCTGGGATCAAGGTATCAGCATGGCTGACTACTTCCAGAGGCTTCTGATTGCCTTGTAGATGGCCATTTTCCTCTGGTGTCTTCTCATGGTCTTTTCTGTCCCTTTTTATAAGGATACCAGTTGTACTGGATTAGGGCCTACCCCAATGACTTCATTTAACCTAAATTACCTTTTAAATTACCATCTCTCTGTAAATATAATCAACATTCTGAGGTTTGAAGCTTAAGACTTCAGTTTATGAACCTTAGGGGTGAGGAGCATAGTTCAGCCATTTGCTGAAAAAGTGACGAAATGTTATTTCATAAAATACCATAAGAAAAATTAAGAGATGAATATCTAGGTGAAAATATATTCAACATGCATGTAAGATCTGTAAACAGAATTTCTACATGGGAAACACCCCATGTGAAAGAGCTAAAGTTAGAAAGAAGGAAACATTTTGACATAATTAATCGTATTAATTGTTATTCTTTAGGTTTTTTACTTTCTGGTTCTTAAGAAAGCCTTATTCTAATTCAGCTTTACAAGGATATTGTCCTAAATTTTCTCCTAGTACTTTTCACAGACTAAAAAAATTGAGTATGCATGGAATTTATTTCATTATACTGTCAGAAGTAGGGTTCAGTTTATTTTCCGAATATATCACTTATTCAAACACTGTTTATTGAATGATTTGTCTTTTGTTCATTTTTTGAAATATTATGTTTAGTAAATATTAAAATCCCATATATTTAAAATCTAAATCCTATAATTTAGACTCTAGTCCTTGGATAGAACTATAATTTTAATTACTATAGCTATATAATAATATATTATTATAACATTAAAATATATTATTATAATATAACATTATTATAATAATATAAAAGCTTTTATAATTTAATTACTATAGCTTTTATAATTTTTTTGTGAGAAATCCTGGTGATCAGCTGTGTGTCTCTTGCCCAGAATGTTTCGCCAAAATGTTTAGTGGGCATTTTGCAGTATCCTGTTAACACACACATTACTTTGATAGACACACTAAGTGGTATATATCAGTACATAATCTCATACTAGAGTGGATCAGGTTTTTCTTCTAAATGAGTTAAAAAGAAGAATTTATCTTTTTTAAAAATTCTAATTAAAACTTTATAGAAGAATTTATCTTAAAGAGATTTTTGGATTATAAATCTGTAATTTCTCTTGCTGTTTGGGGATATACCTTCCTTTTTTGTCCAAATGTTTATGATTATTTTGGTTATACTTGAACCTTTACTCCTCCATGTGAATTTTAGCTTCTGTTTTTTTGAATTATGTGAAAAATTCTCTAGAGATTTTCATTGGGATTGTACTTAACAGTTGGGGAAGAACAGCTTTATGGGGTTTGTCTTCATGTCTGTGAACATGGATAGCTTTTCTTTCAGGTACTTTTTCATGTCATTCAGTAGTTTTATGTTTGTTTTTTTTTCTTTCTCAAAAATGTTTGAAGCTGGACATGGTGGCACAAACCTGTAATCCCAGTGGCTCTGGAGGATAAGGCAGAAGGATCACAAATTAAAAGCCAGCCTCAGTCAAAGTGAGGCACTAAGCAACTCAGTGAGACTTTGTCTCTAAATAAAATACAAAATAGGGCTGGGGATGTGACTCAGTGGTTAGGTGCCCCTGAGTTCAATCCTCAATACTGCTACACTCCCCCCACCCCCTGCAAAAAAAAAAAAAATGCTTGAAATCTTGTTGGATTTATATCAAAATACTTTTACAGTTTTGTTGGTATTGTGAATGGAATTTTTTAAAGTTTGAAACTACATTTTTTAATTGTTGTTGCCAATATCTAAAAGTATTGATGTTTATGAATTGAACATGTTCCTGACCAGTATGTTGAGTTCTGTTACTGGTTCTGATAATATGTCAGTTGATAAGCTTGTGTCTTTGTTAGAAAATCATATTCAGGGTTGGGGTTGTTGCCTAGCATGTGTGAGGCACTGGATTTGATTCTCAGCACCACAGATAAATAAATGAATAAAATAAAGGTCCATCAATATCTTAATTTTTTTAAAAAGAAAAATCATGTTCTAATATTGAGCTTTATTTCTTTTTTCTTTCATTTTTTATTATCATTTTACATGAGCTCTCTTATTATTATTATTTGCATTACAATTCTTAATACACCTTTATACCACAATTTATCATATTTTTGTCAAGATATGTTGACATTAAATTCACATCTTCCTACATGTATTTTGTACAGCGATGAGGGTCTCCTTCCACCATCCATGCAATTCCCCTCTCCTTCCTTTTCCCTCCCACCCCTCTTCCCTATCTAGAGGTAATTTTCTTCCCATGCTCTTCCTCCCTATCCATTTTGAGTTACCCCCTTGTATCAGAGAAGACATTCGGTATTTGTTTTTTTGGGACTAGCTAACTTCACTTAGCATAATCTGCTCTAATAATCTGCCATCCATGTTCCTGCAAATGCCATGATCTTATTATTTTTTAGTGCTGAGTAATATTCCATTGTGTAAAAATGCCACATTTTTTTTTTATCCATTCATCCACTGAAGGACATCTAGGTTGGCTCCACAGTTTAGCTATTGTGAATTGTGCTGCTATAAACATTGATGAGGCTGTGTCTCTGTAATATGCTGTTTTTAGGTCCTTTGGGTATAGTATGAGAAGAGGAATAGCTGGGTCAAATGGTAGTTCCATTCTAAGCTTTCCAAGGAATCTCCATCCTGCTTTCCAAATTGGCTGCACCAATTTGCAGTCCCACCAGCAGTGTATGAGTGTAACTCCTACCCCCCCCCTCCCCCGCATCCTTGCCAGCACTTATTGTTGTTTGTCTTCATCATGGCTGCCATCTGATTGCTGGAGATGATGGGCATTTTTTTGTATATTTGTTGATTGATTGTATATCCTCTTCTGATAAGTGTCTGTTCAGGTCCTTGGCCCATTTGTTGATTGGATTATTTGTTTTTTTGGTGCTTATCTTGTTGAGCTCTTTATATATCCTAGAGATTAGCGCTCTATCTGATGTGTGAGAGGTAAAAATTTGTTCCCAGGATGTAGGCTCCCTATTGACCTCACATATTATTTCTCTTGCTGAGAAAAACCTTTTTAGTTTGAATCCATCCCATTTGTTGATTCTTGGTTTTAATTCTTGTGCCACAGGTGTCTTATTAAGGAAATTGGGGCCTAGCCCCACGTGATGGAGATTAGGGCCTACTTTTTCTTCTATTAGATGCAGAGTCTCTGGTTTAATTCCTAGATCCTTGATCCATTTTGAGTTAACTTTTGTGCATGGTGAGAGATAGGGATTCAATTTCATTATGTTCCATATGGATTTCCAGTTTTCTCAGCACCGTTTGTTGAAGATGCTATCCTTTCTCCAGTGCATGCTTTTGGCACCTTTGTCTAATATAAGGTAGTTGTGATTTTGTGGGTTAATCTGTGTGTCCTCTATTTGTACCATTGGTCTACTGGCCTGTTTTGGTGCCAGTACCATGCTGTTTTTGTTACTATTGCTCTGTAGTATAGTTTAGAGCTTTATTTCTTTTTTGTTAATCTTAAACTTCTTTTTCTTTTTCAGTTGTATGGTATATGGTCTTGAGACACATAAAACATTTTTACAGTGGCATTTACTGTGAAATACATTGTGCTGTAATCACATTTTGAATCCATGAGTACATAAATGATAGAAGGGGAAATGGGAAGTTTCTGAGAAGGGAAATATTTATTATAAGAGGATTTAATGTGTGATCTTTTCATTACAGATATGGCGTAAGATATTCAAGATTGGACAGCTGGTGACCTGATATTTCTGATAGCCTTAAGCTGACTTACAGCCATAGAGAAATCTCTCCGTTTTTGTTTTCTGCTTTACATCTTTCGTGGCACCTAAGTTCACCTTGCAACCATGTATGGAAGTGCTCGCTCAGTTGGGAAGGTGGAACCAAGCAACCAGAGCCCTGGGCGTTCACCTAGGCTTCCCCGTTCCCCTCGCTTAGGTCATCGTAGAACCAATAGTACTGGAGGGAGTTCTGGAGGCAGTGTTGGAGGTGGCAGTGGGAAAACCCTTTCAATGGAGAATATACAATCCTTAAATGCTGCCTATGCTACATCTGGCCCTATGTACTTAAGTGACCATGAAAATGTGGGTTCAGAAACACCAAAAAGCACCATGACACTTGGCCGTTCTGGGGGACGTTTGCCTTATGGTGTTAGGATGACTGCTATGGGCAGTAGTCCCAACATAGCCAGCAGTGGGGTTGCTAGTGACACCATAGCATTTGGAGAGCATCACCTCCCTCCTGTGAGTATGGCATCCACTGTACCTCACTCTCTTCGTCAGGCAAGAGATAATACAATCATGGATCTGCAGACACAGCTAAAGGAAGTGTTAAGGGAAAATGATCTCTTGCGGAAGGATGTGGAAGTAAAGGAGAGTAAATTGAGTTCTTCAATGAATAGCATCAAGACCTTCTGGAGCCCAGAGTTGAAGAAAGAGCGAGCCCTTCGAAAAGATGAAGCTTCCAAAATCACCATTTGGAAGGAACAGTATAGAGTCGTGCAGGAAGAAAACCAGGTTAGTTTTATATGTCTTGTCTGTCTTTATTAGCTGAATTCATGTATATGAATAAAATGAGTCAGACTTTTTTTTTTCCCTTGTTCATTTATCTTTCTTAATCCTATCTATTTTAGTATTTTCTGTCTTTTCTTTCTCAGACTTTTCCAGATYTGCTTTTATGTCTGCTTTTCCCCCTTATTACTTGATTTTCTTCAATTCTTTTTCACTTACTGTATTTTTTTAACATACAAAAATACAATATTCTCTCAATTCTGTGAGAATAGAGTATTGCCACACAGTCTAACATCCATTACCAAAAGTATTTTGATTATTTAAGTGTAAAATATACCAGTAATATTGGTCATAATGTAAAAAAAAATCAGTCTTAAAAACTATCAGAAGTAAGCCAATATGTTATTAAAGAACAGATATTACTTTTAAAAAGTTAATGATGTAAATCTTAATTAGGTACTTAAAATGAGTAACATCTTTTTGTTGATATTCATGTAAGTTTTACTTCAGGGTGTTGATGTTGTTTTTGTTATTCTTTGATTTTTCTAAATTTAAGGTGGAGGAAAGGCAACTTGGTACAATTGATTGTTTTGATAAAATAATATATGTAGGCATTATAATCACATAATTTTTCAGTTTTAGAACTAAGTGCTTTCGGGTGTGGTTGCTCACACCTGTAATCCCAGCAGCCCGGGAGTCTGAGGCAGGAGGATTACAAGTTTTAGAGCAGCTTTAGTAATTTATCGGGATCCTACACAACTTGGTGAGATCCTGTCTCAAAATTAAGGGGGGAAAAAAAAGAAAAAAAAAAAAAGGAAGAAGGAAAGAAAGAAAAAGAAGAGCCAAGTGCTGTCTTAGACACTSTATGAAAAAAATAATTTATTTACTTTTCTGAACTATCTCAGGTTATAGTTCATGTTTGGCTATAGTTGTGTCGTACTGTGCAACAGCTCATGAAATCAAATATGTGAGCAAATCATATTTAGCCTGTGGTAATTAAAATCTTAAAATACTTTTTGTTTAAAATACTTTTAGAACATATCTTAAATTTGGGAGGTTGGATTACTTGCCCTTAAAAAAACTATCATTTCTTTAGAGAATTTTTTTTTTTTTTTTTGGTACTGGAGATTGAACCTAGGTGCACTTAACCACAGAGTCATATCCCCAGCCCTTAAAAAAAAATAATATATATATTATACATACACACACACACACACACATTTTAAAATATTTTATTTATTTATTTTTACATGGTGCTGAGGATCGAACTCAGTGCCTTGAATGTGCTAGGTGAACACTCTACCACTAAGCCACAACCCTAACCCCTAAAAAATATATTTTATTTAGAGACAGGGTCTCACTGAGTTCCTTAGGAACTTGCTAAGTTGCTGAGGCTGTCGCTGAACTTGTGATTTCAACCTCCTGAAATGCTGGAATTATAGGTGTGTGGCACTGCACCCAGCTTAGAGGAGAATTTTAAAGTAGCTACCTCGTTGTTGTTATTAAACTTATTTTTGGATTAGGCTAATAAGAATTATAAAGAAAGTAATAAACAACTAAATTTCTGCATTTTTCTTCAGTGATTCCATGAAATACAGAGAGAATTAGAAATGATCTGTGTCTTTTATTTTTTATTTTTTTCAGTACTAGGAATTGAATCACAGGAGTTCCTACCACCAAGCCCTTTTTATTTTTTATTTTGAGATAGTTTTGCTAAGTTGCTCAGGCTGCTCTCACACCCGGGATCCTCTTGCCTCAGCCTTCTGAGTCTCCAAGGATTACAGGCATGTGCCCCCTGACCTGGCATGATTGTCTTAACTATTCTGCTAATCATGCTTAGTTTAGGCATTCAGATCTGTTTTGAGTACTGGAAGATCTCAAGGAATTTTGTATGTTAAAGCTACAGACCTGCTTTTCCAGATTTGGTTTTTGGTCATAAGATGAATACAGAAAAATGGAAAGTAAAATTTACCCCATATCCTCCCATCTACTAATAACTTCACAATTGCCCTAAATATTTTGATGTTTCTTGTTAAAGAAACATAAGAAATTTTGCATAAGTGGAATATTACGAGTGTTATTCTATGACCTTATTTTAGCCAACGACATTTCTCCTATATATTAAATCTCTTTAATATATATGTAATCGTTTATCATGCCTATGTACTTTTCCATTGTGTTTATACTAGATAATATGGTAGGTTAAAAATCTCATTTACTCTGGGCATGGTAGTGCATGCTAGTAATCCCAGTGATTTGAGAGGCTGAGGCAAGAGGATCACGATTTCAAAGCCAGCTTCAGTAACTGTGAGGTACTAAGCAACTCAGTGAGACCCTGTCTCTAAATAAAATGCAAAATAGGGATAGGGATGTGGCTCAGTGATCCAGTATCCCAGAGTTCAACCCCTGGCGCCACCTCCCTCCAAAAAAATTATAATTTAATATAATTTAATTTTATAATTTAATTTCTCAGGTATGTTATAACCCCAAACTATTTTTCTTTTACTTTTTAACTGGTAGTTAAATTTGTCATTACTTAAAATTTTAATGCTTTAATATTCTTAAGTATTTCTGTTAGACACCTGGCCTTACAAAATAAGAGTACATTAAAAAATTTTTTTTAATTGTTGGCAGACCTTTTTTTTTTTTTTTTTTTAAATATTTGTTTATTTATATGTGGTGCTGAGAATCAAACCCAAACTTTACTGCTGAGCTACAACCCCAACTGTGAGAGCATGTTCTTTAAAAAAATATTTCTTGGGGCTGGGGATGTGGCTCAAGCGGTAGCGCGCTCGCCTGGCATGCGTGCGGCCCGGGTTCGATCCTCAGCACCACATACAAACAAAGATGTTGTGTCTGCCGAAAACTAAAAAATAAATATTAAAAAAAATATTTCTTAGAAAATTCTGTGAGTTTGACTTATTAAGACTTTAAGATTGTGCAAAGGAAGAAAAGAACTGAAATAGACTTCAGTGATAGATTCTAAACATAAGGAGAGGGGTTACCTAAATGCTGGCTCAGATACATCACTATTAGTAGTTATATTTGTTTAAAACCTAGATTTCTAGATCTTACTGAATAATAACTAAATAAAAACCTCTGAGAACAGAGTTTGGAACTTGTATTTTAAACAAGCTTCTCAGGTGTTTTCATGATCTTTAGAATTTAGTATATACTAATTAATCTATTTTTTTAAATGGTACTGGGATTGAATCCAGAGGTGCTCTTCCACTGAGATGCATTCCCAGCCCTTTATGTTTTATTTTTGATTTTGAGACAGGGTCTTAAGTTGCTGAGTACGACCTTGAACTTGTTATCCTGCTTTATTTTCTTGAATAGCTAAGATTATAGGTTTGCCCCACCGTGCTTGGCTAATACATTCAATTCTTAAACTTATCTCTTGCCCATATGCCACTGAATTGTGATGTTTCTGTAGTGTCACTTTTGAGCTCAAAAAAAAAAAAATTTTTTTTTTCAGTGTTGATTTGAATCCACATTCTTGCACATGCTAGGCCAAGTGCTTTATCACTCACCTATAATCTCAGATCTTGAGCCCCAAGAAACAAAGGACCATTCTCTCCATGCTTCTTGTCCTTTTTCCTGTAATGTTAGGGATGCAACATACTTGATCATTATCTATAACAGTGATCCCAGTGGATGTGGTGAATATAGGGAAAAGAGTATTAAAATTTTAGAAATGTAGTTCAAAAGAGCCCTGTAAGGTGGACCAGTGGTGTACGCTTGTAATCCTGATCCGTAATCCCAGCTATTTGGGAGACTGAGGCAGGAGGATCATAAGTTCAAGGCCAGTCTTGGTAATTTAGCAAGAGTTGGTTTCAAAATAAAAAATAAAAAAAGGACTGGGAATGTAGCTCATTGTTAGAGTGCCCCTGGGTTCAAGCCCTAGTAACACAAGAGAAAAGAAAAAAAGGGGTAAGTAGGAGAGGGAAGAAAGGAAAGGAAAGCCCTCAAGGTGATTTTGATGTATCCTCACATTGTGAACCATTGACTCACAAGATAAATACTCAAATGATATGTGATAGCAAAATGAAAATACATTTTATTTAGTTGACAGAAAAGAGAATATAAAACCAAAAATATATTATTCATTATTATAAAGTAATTGTACCTTCTCAGTTTTATTGTGTAGTATTGGGTTATAAATGTTAGAAGAGGAAAAAATGAGTTTGTATTCTTCAGTCTTGTGACGAAGTATCAGTGTAGCATAGGTATTAGAAAGTGTATCTTGTGTTCTTAGGGTATGAAGTCCTTTTTTTAAACAATATTGATAAGTTTGTAGTGTATATGTGGTATATATGAAATTGGTTATATGTATTTAGACAAACATTATAATTGAATATTGTCCAATCTCAAATGTGTTTTAATAAAAAAAAACAGAGTTCCATTTAATTTTAAAGTGTGTAAATCACTGTCTTATTATAAAAAAATATTGTAGGTGGCTGTGGTGGTACACACCCGTAATCCCAGCTACTCAGGAGGCTGTCAGGAGGATTGCAAGTTTGAGACCAGATTCAGCAATTTAGCAACATCCTGTCTTAAAATTAAAAAAAAAAAAAAAAATTAAAAAAGGTCTGGAGGGCTGGGGTTGTAGCTCAGTGGTAGAGTGCTTGCCTAGCATGTGTGAGGCACTGGGTTCGATCTCAGCACCACATATAAATGAGCAAAATAAAGGTCTATTGACAACTAAAATATATATATATATATATATATATATATATATACACACACATACATACACACACACACACACACATATTAAAAAAAAAAAAAGGACTGGGTATGTAGCTCAGTGGTAAAGTGACCCTGGGTTCAATTCCCAGCTCTGCAAACAAAGAAAACAATAGCAAAAACCAGAGCAAAATAAGAGAATATTGTGAAGAATTTACATTTAAAATGCTCCACCTTTCTAATATAGATTTTCTGTGTGTGTGTGTGTGTGTGTGTGTGTGTGTGTGTTTGTTTGTGTGCAAACCTATAAAATTGAA